CAAAAAATCTTCAATTTTTTTGCATTCTACCAACAATTTGCCAAATGCAAAACCCGTCATCACTTTATGAGTTTTGTTAAAACATTGTGATGCTAAAATTTATTGTCATATATCCTGAGCAATATGTGCACGACAATTGTTAGCAATTGTTCAGAGCGTTCATATATCGGGCAAATAATGCAATTACCATCATCCGACTAAACATCAAAAAAACCCGTAAACGTTTGCACTAAAGAAATAAACGTAATACGTCTAGATGATGCATATAGAAGCAATCAAACACATAATAATGTTTGCTCTAGTTCTCTCTAAAATCATAGAAATCTATATATTGGCAGTTAAAAACTCATTAGATTGAAACAGAGCATTATGTATAGGAATGACACATGTTGTAGGCAAATTTTGAAAAATCCTTAGCTAGCGGGACCATCACATTTGATTCCATCAAAGTATACTGTAGAACCGTCGTAGGCTATTGTACCAATGCTGCGATAATCAATAACAGAGTCGCGGTATAGCTCACAGGTATTCATTGCCCCTGAATCAAAGATTTGAAGAATTTTAGACGAAGAAGAAATTATGTGTTTAGATTATTATTTTATTTTAAATTATATCTATTACATCTCAGCTCTATTTCTCCAAAACAATTCAGCAACAGTTATTATGATGACATTTGCATAAAACTGTTTAGAAGCTAAAGCTATTCAACCTTAGGATTTCAACCTCACCGTTGGATATAAGGTTAGCTGATCGACATCCATGAGCATAGCAGGCTGCGAAACAATCGGCAGGACTGAAATTTGTGTATAAGAAAAGTCAATGATTTCCTATCCTTCGCGATATTTTGTCCTTTTAGAACGAGATTTCACTTTATCCAAACTGTTACTTTCAAAGCGATTTAAATAGCTACGTCTAGCGACTTTATTTCATCACTCCTATTTATCTTCGCAAGTGGAAAATTTATATGTTATGCCTAATTACATAATCAAAAAGATCCCTTGAGGAACACAGTATTGGACAATAGAAAACACC